CACCTATTTGATTCTATTCTGGACTAGTGCTGGTATACAGCAAGAACAGATATTATTTTAATAAATTAAATCAATTTAGAGCAAATCGAGTTTCAAGTTATATAGCCTGAGAAGAAATAAATTGATATTGGCCAGACGTGATCAACTACTATATCGCGGTACTTCTGATTTCTCGTTGGCGGGAAACTGATTGGCTCTTGATGCTCTAATAATAAAATATTATATTCTTAATTTGTCGATGTCGTTTTTAAAAGCAATTAATGGTAGTTATTTATATTTAAAATTATCACTATATTAACACTTTTTTAAAAACGACATACAGCCTTTGAGGATCTAACTTGATTTTACATTTAATGATAAATAGTGATGAAGCTTTTTTTTAAATAATAATAATAATAATGTAAAGACCGAATTTCGATCATGGCGGTCAGTCTCAACGGAGACTATAACCATCTGCACAGGATATAATTATAGTACCTGAGTGTATGCGCAAGCACAGGTGCATTTTCTATATACTTACTTCCATAGTCCGATGGAATAGCAATCCGACCGGAGAGAGATGAGACGCAAGATCAAAGGACCAAAATCAGAACGGATTTTTTTTAATTAATCACCTTGTGATATTTCTTAGTCCACACAAAAGGGTCAAAAAATTAAACTTTTAAAGTGATATTATGTGGTAAAGCCACGCTGCAGCTATATTATGGTTGTGGCACGAATGGGTCAACTCGCCTGTGGAAGGACCACACTATCACAGAATACCAGCATAAAATAGTAGCTCAATGCTGCTGTGTTTGATATGGCAATAAGGGCAAACGAGCATGCGGCTCACCTGATGGTAAGTTTCGACCACCGCCCATGAACCACTGCAGCATCAAGGGAATCGCAGGTGCGTTGCCGTCCTTTTTAAAAAGAGTAGGATGATGACAGATGATATGGATGGTATTGCGAGTTTTGTCGCGATGTGCGATGGTGAAATTGAGCGATTGGAATTAGTCCGAGCATTTCCTCAGAGCACTCCCCGTGGTAGATGCGATAAAAAACGTAAAAAGATGCAAAATGGGCATGCAACTCTTCGCAGTGTCAGTGAGTCAAGCCGATCAATAAGAGGAAGGAGCTGGCACTGGGGAACCCCGGACCAGAGACGGGAACAGTATTCTATGTGAGGCCGAACCTGCGCCTTGTAAAGTTGCAGGCGGTGTGCCGGCATGAAATACTGTCCCGCTCTGCTGAGCACGCCAAGCTTTTTAGAGGCCAATTTGGCTTTCTCTTCCAAGTGACCACGAAACTGCACGTCATTCGATATGTCAACGCCGAGGATAAGTGTAGAGAATTGAAGACCCTAGAACATTGGAAACGAGGCATTCCATTTTAGTCCTCAAGGGTGACAACGCATCTGCGTTTTGATTTTTGATCGAAGATAGATGTCGATGTCTAAGGGCCATACCATCCACTTACCATCAGGTGGACAAAAAAAAATGTGGAAATTATTTTAGTCTTTTAGTTCAAGGAACTTTTCGGCTTTTAATTATTATTAAAAGTTTAATTTTTAGAGCTTTTGATTTCTTAAGGGCAAAGGCAACATAAGGCAAAGATTATAAAATAAAGAAATACCAATACAATTTCAAATAAATCATTTGATTCTTTTTTCTACTACATGTTCTAATCAACTACTACTAGACTGCGCTGAGACAACTAGCATAAATAATTTGAAAGATTTTTCCATATATCCCAAGAAGGAAAACGTCATGAGGAAACCTGCATGTCTTAGAAATTAAAAAAAAGTATTTCGGAGACATGTGAAATCCACCAACACGCATTGGGTTAGCGCGGCAGACTTTTCGTAATCCTAAAAACCTTCTCAGAAATAAGAGGAGGCCAGTGCCTAGGAGTGAGACGTAGTAGGCTGTAACTTTAACTTTATACATAGAAGTGTAGGGTCGGTGTACGAATATCCACTACCCCATATCGTCCCGTGGCTGTGGTAAAGGTGTTAAAGGGGAGCTGGAACAGGAGATGGACAGCAGCATCTTCCTGATAACAACAAAATTATAAAAAAATACGCTTGCTAACCCGCCTGCGAACTGTGGCTACTGTGGAAAAATATATGGGGAGGTAATTTTTTAGGAAAAGGGTGACAAGCGAGCACACAGTCCACCTGATGGTAAGTGATTTGCTGTGGCCGATAGACATCTACATATATCCTCGTTTTCGAATCAAAATGCAGATGCGTTGTCAGCCGTGAGGACCAAGATGGAATTCCTCTTTTCCAGTAAAAGGGTCTCCGGTTCTCTATACTCACCATATGAAACACAGCCGCATTAAGCTGCTATTTTACGCTAGTATTCTGTGGGAGAGTGATCCTTCCCCGGTCAAGCCAACCCATTCGTGCTACAACTATACAATTGGTATTTTTTTTATATTGGTTGGATATTCTTACACCACCACCACAAGGTTAATTGACAGCTTATAAAAATTAATCCACTTTACACGAGTGTCAACCGCCTTATTTATCATACCAATTCGGGATCCTTTATTGTGCCTATATAATAACTTAAATATAATCAGCAACGCACGCCGAAGTGTCACGCTAAATTACAATTATTGTTAAGTTTGTAAAACAGGGTACCAGAAGTTTTTTCTTAATTAAGTATCAAATTGCGTTTCTTTTATCGTAGGCCAGTTTAGAAATTAAAAGAAAGTACTGATTCTTATCATAGATTTACTACTTCTGTATTCCGTTTACACCTACCGTAGAGTAAAGACCATAAATTAGATAATATCTTATTTAGGAGTGTAATTTGTAAGGACTGCATGTGTTTCATTTTATTTAGTTTGTATTCTACTGCTTTTCTGCTGTCTCGGCGAGTATAATCGATGTGTGTCAGTCAGAAAAACGGGAGACAAACTCTCGTCATATATCTTCGAGACAACGATTTAGTTATTATCCAAAAATGCAAAGTACTGATTCAATTCTCTCTGATATATAATTATACAACATATTATATTGTAAAGTAATGTTTAAATAGAGTACTGCTGTGTTTTTGACGGTTCATCCCAAGACAGAGGATTTTTCCGAACTAGTGGTAAAAGCATACTCATCGAATAATTTATTTATTTATTTATTTCTACCTCTGTCTTTACAGGCGTACCTAATACGACAGTGTAGGCACATAAACTATCTAATTTAACAAGGACAGAACACAACTTATCTACTATTATAACACAATATATATATAATGTCACTTTTGTGAATTCATCCAAGGAACAACAGAATAAATCTACATCCTGAGCTACTTTATTTAGAGTGTGCAGCACTCGGGTCAGTGGGGCCTCCTTTAGAAGGTTGGTGCGTGCGCGCGGTACCGCGAACAGCGGAGGCCGCTTCCGGCGCCACACGTACCTGTCCGGCACACACAACTTAGTCATTCGCAATATCGCCTCGTTATACACTTTTCCACGCAGCAATTTAAACATATATGTTGCCAAATTTAACTCCCTCCTAACCTCCAGTTTATATATAACACTCAATAAATATTGTTGTTATCTATATTATTGAATAAAATATATTCTATACTATTCCTCCACTCATACGTAGTAGTAGTTAGAAAGATGAGCTTAACGCAATAGAAAACAGAGTTTTAGTCTGTTAAATATTTCGAAGACGTGTGAAGTCTGTCAACACGTACTGGACCAGCGCGATGGACCAGTACCATATTACCCTCTCAGAAATGTGAGGAGGCTTGTAACTAGCTATGGAACATATAATAAAGGCTGTAACCTACACTTGACTTTTACCTGGTAGAGCCAAGCTGCAAATATATTATTGTTGTGGCACGAATAGGTCGGCTCGACTATGGTAGGTCCACGCTTTCACAAAATACCAGCGTAAAATATCAGCTTAAAGCTGCTGTGTGTCGTATGGTGAGTGTAAACAACCGGAGACGCTTTTTATTGGAAACGAGGCATTCTATCTTAGACTCCACGGTTGACAACGCATCTTTTTAATTCTTAATCGAGGATAAATGAAGATTTCTATGGGCCACAGCAACCAATAAGCGTTAGGTGGACGGTGTGCTTGTTTGTCCCCCTTATCCTATTAAAAATACTAATAATGAAATAGTTCCACAAAAAATCTGGTTCGTGCCGCATTGTCACCCTTATTCTATAAAAAAAAAACACTTACAAATGTAATATTAGAGAATTATTATAGAATATTAAGGACGATTCTGAACGGTAGAGTGAGAAATAGTGTGATAAGAGAAAAGTGTGGCTTGCAAGAAGATTTTGTGATCAGGATTAAAAAAGTAATGCTTGGGTACACGTAGAAAAATGAATGAGGAAAGAATTACAAAGTAAATTGATGCTGATAAGTGAGTGGCAGATTCGGAGAGGGATGCTCTAGATTTAATTGGTGACATTATTGACGACTGGCCAAGTTAATAATACTTTTAACTTACTTTACTTTTTAATAATTTTAACCAACGAGGTGTGTCAGGATCGTGCCAAATGGGAGCCTGAAATCTCTACCTACCCCTCTGGCTGACTGACAAGCGTGAGTGTCCAGTAAGTATGTATTCATTGTTATAGTTCATTTGATATCCGACCGATACACGTCATATTTGCTTATTATTATTTTTAATGTTGCTAATGCCATATTTGCTTTCTGCTGACGTCACATAGTCTATTTTACCCGCGCAATCATGACATGATATCGATTGTGATATCATTTGTCAAAATCTGATGACAAGTTTAGGTAATACGTACAAAGAAATGGACAGACATAGTTTGTACTAGCCAAAAATATTACCCTCCTTTTGGCCTCCGCCACAATCGGGTAAAATTGGTGAAATTTAAATCACTGGCATAAAAATCTATGGCTTTAAAAATAAAAAATGATTACTATAGTGTATAATAATAAGAAAAAAAATTCTAATACCTGTGAAAAAAGAATAACAATTATTACAAATATTAAAGTTGAAAACAAATCATAAGATTACCTGTTTGGCCCTTTCCAAGTGTTTTCTCCAATCTGAAGGGCCCGACATATTGGTAGGCCTCGGAGGCCGTCGTGGAACCCCCGCTCTCCATCTTCACGTTCTACGCCACGGCATCCGCACAGAAACAGAATGAGTCATAGCGTGATCGCGCAAACACACCGGGTCATATTGAGAGAGTCACGCACACAACACTCAATCGAATCGAAACCACTTCTGATAATATAGAAATATGGACGGTCATTCCGTTTCTTCACTAAACAGTAATCATTTTTCATTATTCAAACTGTTTTCGGTATTTAAATAATTAAGTTTTGCTGACCATAAAAACATAATTTTTATACAAATCGCTGGATTTCATTTAGGGTATAGTTAAAGAATGGTATCGGTTTATGTAGCTTGAAAAGATATCCTATTCCATTGTAATTTTAGTTATAATATTTATTAGGATAACAAGATCTTGCAACATGCTTACCACACCTTAATCATGTCTCAGGAATCACATTTATATGTTATAACCTAACTTACTTCCACTCCTGGGCACAGGCCACCTCTCAAACCACTTCTCAGGCCACCTAACAAAATCTGACCTAGGCAGAATTTAAAAAAAAAATTATTTAACGAAGATTGTATAAAAAGGGTAATTATAATATTAAGGAATTTATGGATGATAATAACTCCTGGGAATGAGGTGATCGCTTCCAAGCTGTTTGTGTTGTTAATTATGTGTAACGTATTAATTGATTGTAAACTGTTCCTTTTTTTTTTCAAAAATAATAATATGTACCACTGGGTTTCTTGCTGGTTGTTCCCAGAGAAGAAGTATTTTAAGAAAAATTGATAGGTAAATTAAATATAACACTAATTTTTAATAAGTTTTATTTATAATCTTTATTGAATAAAAAGTTTCTATTTCTATTCTATTTCTATTTATAATTTATGAGAGAATTTTAGGCCAAGGAAGTGATCGCCAATCTGTCTCAAGACTTCATACGTGTTCGATTTTATTTAATCTGCCGGTTTCCTTGCCATGTTTTCCTCCATCAATGAACACGCGATAAATCGGCACTTAAAATTGAATTTAACAATTTCATTGGTGTCGGTGGATATCGAACCTGGGTTGGTCGGCTTGCGTACTGGGAAATTGACGCCGAGCGTTTAGCCTATGACCTACCAAGGCTCTCACGGCTACCATTTATTAACCAACCATTTAAGAACGTAACCTATTAAGCACTGGCACTCTTAAAATAACGTAATCTTGACTAGTGCTGTCTTAATTTGTTTCGATTATAGGCTGTTCTCTATCCTGACAAAATCGCTAAAATATAATGTATTTAACGAAAGAATTCTAACGTAGAGAAAATAATATTACATAAAACTTCAGAGAAACGGATGCATTTGAATAAAAACGGGACAAATATGAAACCAAGAGCCTACTACATAGTTAAAATAGGCCAACGTTTAACCTCAACGCCACCGAGTCCTACATATTTAACTTTACTTACGCCTTGCCTTCTCTTTAACCCTCCGCTTTAGCATTATTTCCCTCGGAACTCGCAGTCAACTGCACATTACTACTCTTTACACTGCAAAACACAAAGCGTAATTTAGCTCAAATATGGTTCATTTATTTCTTTAATTTTACAGTCATAGAATTACAACTAAGTAGTCTCATGTTTGTCTGGAATTTATTTCCATGTTTATGTGATACATATATCAAAAAAGAATGTGCCAACTATGTGACTTGCGAAGCATGCCCTTATAGGCAACTAATATGGTATTAGGTTTGTCTTTTTGTAGGCGGTGAGCTAACCACCTATCATTTGTTTTAACAATTTTCCATAAAACCCATATTTTTTGAATAAATGTGGACCTTGAAGATTAAATTACAGTACAGTACACCAAAATGAATGAATCTAGCGAAAAAATTCGATACATTCTCAATTTTTATTACAAAAAAGGGAAAAATGCGACTCAAGTCAAGTCAAGACAAAATCTTTAAAAGTTTGTGACGTTTACGGACCTAATGCAGTGTCAGTAAGAGTAGCACAAAATTGGAATTTTGATGTCAAAGATGCAGCTCGCACTGGGCACGGCCCTCATACGGATAAAGTCGATGCCATTTTTGAAAAAGTGGAGCAAGATCGGCATATTAGTAGTTACGACATAGCTGAGGAATTGCGAATTGACTACAAAACAGTTTTGACCCATTTGAAAAAGTCTGGCTATACAAAAAAGCTCGATATTTGGGTACCACACGAGCTCACTGAAAGAAACCTTATGAATCGTGTACTCATTTGCGATTCTCTATTGAAACGTAATGAAACCGAACCATGTTTGAAAAGATTGATCACTGATGATGGACATTGGATCACCTACAACACGAACGTGCGAAAAAGATTATGGTCAAAGGGTACCCAGTCAAGCTCCACAGACTGTAGCAAAACCCGAACTAACACGCAATAAAGTGATGATGTGTGTATGGTGGGATTGGAAGGGCATCGTTTATTATAAGCTTTTACCACCGTGTAAAACCATCGATTCGGATCTCTACTGCAACAACTAATGAGACATGCAAGAAATTGTAAAAGAAACGGCCGGAATTGATAAACAGAAAAGGTTTTTATGTTTTGATAAATTGATAAACAGCCAGACCACACACATTTTTGGCCACTCAGCAAAAGTTGAGAGAGCTTGGTTGGGAAGAAGTGTTAATTTTTACACGCTCCAAAGTCAATAAACCCGATGTCAACTTGAACGTAAATTATCAAACTGATGCCCAAATACTCGAACGCTGCTCAATTTTAAGAAGCTGGTAAGTGTGGTGCTGTCTCCATCAATTTAAGTCATAGTGACTGTGACACCACTAGACTTAAGTATCGTTTAGTATTTGACCATGAGTCCGTTGTAGTCCACGGGTGAACTATTGGAGAATGTGCGAAAACGGACGACTTCTTTTTTCCTTTCTTCTTTTTCTCTTTTTAACGACTTCTTTTTCTCTTTTTACCTTTCGGTATAATTTCAGAAATAATATTTCTTGTCATATTTCTTTTCAAAAGTGGCAGAAATATAAATCATAGATAATATAAAGGTTGTCGTGGAACGATTTGATCACTATTGCTGTGTTATCAGAACCATGCCGAAGAAATTGTGTTAAAAGCTTGGCTACCTTCCAGCGTTTAGAGGAACTATGCTAAGTTACAAAAATAGTTTTTCCTCTTTACGTCTAATCTAAGGTAGATGATGAAATAATGGTTCGTGAAAAGCATAGTACTATAGTATATTTAAAACTATCTGTATTCAAAAAAAAAAAAAAAATAGTAGCAGCGATAATATTAACATAATCTCGAGTTGTTTAATTTAGAACCTGTTTAGAGAACTTTGATCGTATGAAAAAGCCCAAATTCGATCAGCAAGCTACGGAGAGGGCTATGCTCGGAGTTCCTCTCAGTGATAGAGCCCGTAATAAATTATTACAGTAGAACTTCAGTAACTGACAAAACCAAATCCTACGTATTTCAGGTTCCTGCAAAACACAAAGCGACATTCCTCGCTCCCTATTTTCTGCCTTCTGGAGAAGTATATGGCAGACGCGTCAAAATAAAAAGTTTTCTAATTAGTGTTGTTACATTTTATTTTTATACCTATATTTTCAGGTTAAGGTATACTAGTATTATCGCCATGGGCCAATAAAAATAATAAATAAAAATGTAAAAAATATTCCTTTTTAACATTGTATGGTATTGTATAAACCAACAGATTAGTAAACTGAAGTGGAAATTAGTCAGTTCTATAGCGTAAAGAACCGACAACCGTCAAAGGAGAAAAGTTCTCAAGCGTGCCGATATGCGAAGTGTAGGGTAAGTCAAGAAGTCGAAGGATGTAGATGGCTGGATAGAAAAGCGGAATAGGGGCTAAAACAAAGAGATGTCTAAAAAGACGGGTCTCTATAATATAGTTTTGATAAAATTGGCTAGGAATTGTTTACAAATTATACAAAAACTATGTTAAGACGAAACCGCCTAACAAAGTTAGCTAACTAAAAGAGCTGGGCCAGAATCGTTAATTAATGAATTGTTGTAGAAATAATCTCATAAGATTCCGGTAGCGTATCGATACTATTTCAATAAGAAATACACATGTAATGTATATTGAATAAAAATTATTCTATTCTATTCTATCTTTGCTATTTGTTGCAAACGATTACCACCAAATATTTTCATTATAAGAATTTTTATTACTTTCTAAAGGGTCTCTGAATGAATTATTTGTTTTTGTTATTTAAATGTTTTATTAGGCTGAAACTGTATAAAAAGGGTTATTATAGTATATATGAATACATGGTTGATAATAACCCCTGGGAATGAGGTGATCGCTTCCAAGCAGTTTCTAAAATAAATTTTGTAAATAGTTCGTAATCATTTATATTGTAAAATTTATTTTTAAAAAAAGTCCCGCTGGGTTTCTTGCTGGTTCTTCCCAGGACAGAGGGTTTTTTTCGAACCAGTGGTAAAGTAAAAAATGACTTTCAATAAGAATTACACATGTAATGTATATTGAATAAAAATATTCTATTCTATTCTATTCTATTGAAATGCTTTGAAAGGCCGTTTTGTTTTGTTTAAAAATTATCGGGACCACCGCTTCATCGTTGCTCAACCTTTAAATCTGACCCTACATCCATACCGGGACTTATCCTCCCTACCCCGTATAATAAAACACACTAATACTTTGTTATTTTTATGGGGAGAATGTCCTTTTCATATCGAATAGGCTTTATTTTTCTATTATTTCTACAAATTTATTTAGGATATCTTATTTTTGAGAATCTAAGCGCGTGCTGTAAATTTGATAGTACGCGATCATCCGGATTCGATCTCAGCTGTAATGAAATTGCTAATTACAATTTTAAATGCTGATTTACCTCGTAACTGGCGGTAAAGGAAAACATCGTGAGGAAACCTACCTAGTCTAGAAAAGGCTTATGACAGGAATGTGTCAGTGTTTGCCAACTGAACTTATTTGGGTTGAGCGCTGGTTTGATACAGGCATTAAAGTCTCTTTATATGGACTCTAGTGCTTGTGTAAGGATCA